TCACTGGACTCTGTGTCTGACTTTTAATTTTAATTATAATACTTTGGGATTCATGTGTAGTCACATGCTACATGTGGGCATATGTATGGCTTTCATGGGTTTAACCCAGAAGGCAGGAAATCATTTTAATTTTTGGCCAAATCAAAGTGAAACTAACGTTATTGATTGAATATTCTCTGTAATAAATACCAGCAGAATAATCCATGTTGTAATCTGTTCTATCAGCTGCAGTAGTAGCAGAGCAAACGGAACTGACAGCAGAACCAAACATAAAAACATCTTTATGTGATTTCTGCATCGTCAACTAAATACATGTCTGGTTCCCATGGTAACGCTATATTTACAGTGTGTGATGCTGGAACTCCACGGCTTCATCCAGTGATATTAGTAACACACAACTCAGCATGTTAGCAGATAAAACACATTCCCTCAGCTGAGAATCTGTATCGCTCATAAACAATAGTAACAGTTTTTATGCACGTCATTGCTGCACTTATGTCAACTCCATCAGACACAATAATAAAAAGTGTTTAATGTTTTATTTTAAAGATCCAACAAGAATTCTAAGTTCTCAAGCATCTAATGTTGGTATTCAGTAATAAAGCATCGCAATAAAATGCATCAGAGGCGGCCCAAGGCATAAGCAAACTAAGCGCCTGCTTAGGGCCCCTGTCACCAGTAGGGGCCCCCAAGAGCAGTTACCGTTTAAAAAAATATTTATACACTTTCCATCCATCCATCATCTCTCCACCTTAATCCTCACTAGGGTCGTGGGAGGCTTGAATCTATCCCAGCTGACTCAGGGTGAAGGCAGGTTCACCTGGACAGGTCACCAGTCTATCACAGGGCTACACTTAAAGACAGACAACCAAGCACACTAAAATTCACACCTACGGACAATTTAGAATCACCAATTAACCTCAACATGTTTCTGGACTGTGGGAGGAAGCCGGAGAACCCGGGGAGAACCCACGCTGCTTGGGGAGAACATGGAGACTCCATGCAGAAAGATCCCGGGTGTCCTCACTGGGATGTGAACCGGCGACCTTCTTGCTGTGAGGCTAACCACCGAGTCACCTGCAGCCCTATTTGTACACTTTTGCTTTGTTGTGCTGTCATCTAGGGTCTTTGAACCAATTTGCCTTCGGAGATGCTCCGGACAACATAGCACCGCGATAAGGTGGCGATTCATTGGGGAGAAGACTTTTTTTTTGTTGTTAGGTTATTTTTTTGGCCTTTGTGCCTTTATTTGATAGTGCAATGAGAGAGAGAGAGACAGGACAGTGGGGGAGAAGAATGGGGAGAGGACGTGTGGGAAAGCGGGATTCGAAGTCATGACCTCCGCATCGGGACTGTAGCCCTGTACATGGGGCACCAGCTCAACCAGGTGAGCTATAGCAGCACCAGGGGGAGAACACTTTTATACTGTGGTAAAACATATTTTATTTTGAACATTTCATGCCAATAAGCCCAGTTGTGAAGGGAGCATCACCTACTAACTGAATCGTCTCCCTTCTGTCTTCAGCTCTTTGTACAGCCCTCGGCAAGATTCCTCCACTTCACTGAACTAGTAGACAGACAACATGATCACTGCTGGATTTACAGAAACATTAGGAACACTTAGAAAGGTGCATTCATCAACACTTGTGCGCCTTAATATGGGTAATAATGCTACTATTAGTAAATAGTTATAAAAAGGTTTTAGGACATTGTGTGAATGTAGATAGTACATCTGTTACCCTGACCTTTGATGGTCAACTGACCACAGCAGTAGACCTGCTCAGCCTCCTGGAACATCTTCCTGGACAGACAGGACATGTATGATGGCCTACCAAAAGAAAATGGTTCATTCTGAAACAATGTCATTTAAATAAACCATTTTCCAGCAGAGCAGCCGTGTTAGACAGCTACATACACAAGTAGCACCATGAAAGGCTGCTATCTATTTAGCCTTTAGAAGTGCAACAGCACAAACATGTATAAATATCGTCCGGTGGAACAAAGCTGAGCAACAGGATGGGCAGTGGTAGTTGTCCCAGCATATGGTGCACTTCCTCAATATGGGGATGGCTCTGTTGAATTTTTATGTGCGTCTTCAATTAAAGAGAGAACAGTTGGTCAAACTGAATCTGTTCATATCATTTGCGATATCATTTTGCAAATATAAATAAACATAAATTAGGCCTAGTCCTAGAACTGGACGAACACATTTAGATGTTGTGTCCTGGGCTTAATCTGTGTACTGATATAACTTCATTCGGGCTGTACAGCAGACAGAGGAGATGTGCCACAGGAGGCCAGAATAATCCTACATCAGCATTAAGTGTTAAAATGCTCAATGTCTCAACATGACAACACAATGACATCATGAAAAGAAGAACTATGAAGACACGTCCCGTGGAGGGAAATGTAATTCACAGTGTTGACCAGCAGACATGTGGACTAGTCCCAGGATGGACATGTCCAGGTAACTGATGACTGAGCTCCATCAAGGTCTTCTAGACTCTGACAGAAGCAGCAGCATCACAGCAGAAGCTCTGCTCAGAGGAATGAAGCCAGAGTTATTACACCTCTGCTTTCTCTACTGGGACCAGGTCAGACGTCTGCAGTGAACAACATGACAGTTAACATGATCAGAATGTAAAACACTGAAGGTTATCACTGCTTCATGGAGCTGACAGTCATCATTTCAACACGTTTCTATCATCTGATCAAGGTTCATTAATGCAGACACACCCTACATGTTACATTAGCTTCTTAGCTGCTAACGTAAGCATTAGCAGTGAAGACGACGACAGAAAAACTGCATCGGCGTTAGTTGTTGAATATTTGCCTGAATACATGTAAGCTAGCCAGGTACAATCAACGAAGAGAAATGATCATTTTTCCGCTACATACCCTTGAAAACAACGTATCAGCCCAATTTGCAGTTTCAATTTTTTCAGGTCGCAGTGTAATGGGCCGTTACTCTGTTATAACTCTGGAGAGAACCATAATAATGTGGCCTGTTAGTATAAGTTATAGATGGAGATGTGCTGTTTACAGTAACTGTTTGCTGCAGAGCATAGTCATTTATGTGGGTAAGATAAACAGTCTTTCTATACTAATATGCTCATAACTTATATGAACTATCACCAGGAGCACTGTTGAAGTATTTTGGAGGTACTGACAGGCAGGAAAGTCCACTTCAGACTGAGCTGAGACTCAAGCATCAGGTGAGGAACAAACTGTCCCTGTACACATCTAATGTCTGGTCACATGATGTCATTAAGACTTACTATCATACATAATCACATGACAAGAGACTTGGTTTTAGATCAATGCACATCATGTGAATACATTTGCAAGGAAAAAAACACTGGAGTAAGTGTTTTCATATTGAATGTCTCATATGACATCTAACATGGCTGACATGTGTTGTTGTTGTGTCTTGCAACTCCTACAGAGTTCTGTCTCTCAGCCCCACCCACTGGACCTTCTGTCCCTGTTCCTGCTATAACCTCAGCTGGTTTACCTGCTAAGGTAGCAACAAAACAGACTTTGTCATTTCAAGGGTAACATGACATCTAACATGGATGACTTTTG